CACACACACACACACACACACACACACACACACACACACACACACACAGAATCATGGTCCTCTCCCATTTAAATCCCCGTTATAATAAAACTACCATCAAAGGCGTTTAATCTCCTGCAAAACAACCAACCTGTCAACAGCTGAACTTCAGACTGGTTTTAGGTTTCTGTCACAGCTACAGTAAATCTGTTCATGAGTTTGATATATTAATATTCAAAGAAGTTTGAAAACTTATCATTTAGATATTCTTGCCCCCCTCTCCCCTCTCAGCTCTGGGAGATTTTGATGAACCACAGCGGTCCAGTATGACAATGTTCGGAGTGCTGACCATCGCTGTTCGGATCTACCAGGACCGCTGGGGCTACGGAGTCTACTCTGGACCAATAGGATCCGCCGTCTTCATCATCACGATTAAATGGGTGATTGACAGTCTCTGATGTGCTTCAGTATTTATTCTAACGTGAATGGTGTTTGTTTTTCACACGCTTTTTACAATCACATTACTTCTGTGCACTTTGAACTATTTCTATTTTAATAATGCATTTACTAAAGCATTAAGCTCCTTTTAGCTCCTTACTTGATCATTTTATCATTTTAGCTCTCAGCTAGTTTTTGTATTTTTATTTTAGCTTCTGGCTACAGTTTGGCTAATTTTAGTTTTAACAATTGTTCAGTTTTTTTAAGCTTTAAGCAACATTTTTTTCTAGTTTCTTGTGTTTGGTTTTTACTCATAATGTTGCTAATATTACTTTTAGCTTTAGCTTTCACTAATTTTAATTATAAGAAACAGTTTTTCTAATTTTACTTTTTAGTTCTGGTTTTGCTGATTTAGCTTCTGTTTATTTTAACACAAATAATTCATTTAGCGTGTCATTCTTCAATAAATTTCAGTAAAGTTGATCAGCTAATTTTGGTATCGATATGATACAAGTTAATCCAGAGCTAATCCCACAGATTCTAATACGTATTATGTTCAGTGATTAATTATGAGTTTGTCTTTAGGTAGTCGAATTTGGTAAAACTCAGGACAAAGATTTTAGGCAAATAAAACTGTTTTGAATCCAGGGGAAGTTTTTGGAGTATTTTTGTTTTTGCCTTCATATTTCACCTTCAAAATGTTTTCATCTGCCATGTTTGATGTCTTTTAGTTCAGCACAACTTCCCATATGTGAATTTAAAGTTATTTTTTTCTGACCTACTGTATCAACACAAAAGGCCTAAAATCACACAAAAATCATAAAATCCAAGTAGAAAAACTGTGAAAACTAAAGATATTCAAAATGAATGTTTTTACCACTTAGACTACAAATATAAACACTTATATTCATAAACATATGTACAAATGTAGCAACAAAAACAAAGCCATGTGCAGAATTTCCATTGAATTAAAGACATCTTCTCAGGTGATTTTTGAATAAAACAATGAGGCGTTCCAATAAAATGTCATAAATTATTTTTGCCACTGATAAAAACTGTTTTTGAACAATTTATGTTCTCTTGTTTTGGTAGTTTTCTTCATCCTGCTCAGGATTACTCAGATCTGAATCCAAATCTTCTCATTATTTTGCCAAAAAAAGGGGAAAAAAGTGATTCTGTCTCCAGTAATCAGGGACAAACAAATAAATAAAAGAATAGATCTTATCCCTCTAGTATCGATCTGATACTCATATTGATATCATTGAAACTGAAGTCGATACGCCCTCCTCTAATGAGAGTTCACACTGTGATTCTGTAGAAAAACCAAGTCGCTCTAATTTCCCCTTTAAATCTCCAACATAAACTCTTTAATCCACTCTCTGCTTTACTTCTCTTTGCCTTTTGTCTCACGCTACAAACCACCGGTGTTTCCATGTGTGTGTGTGTGGATAATCTGTCGATATTATTGTAATGAGCTCTTGCTGTTCCAGCTGCAGAAGATGAAACAGCTGAAAGCGGTTTACCCTGAGAAGACGGTGTACACGCAGCAGGTCGGTCCGGGCTGCTGCTTCGGCGCTCTCGCTCTGATGCTCCGTTTCTACTTCGAGGTGACTCATCGTCCAAATAAAACCGAGCCCAAACCAAATGTTTGAACTTCATGTGCGACTCTGTCTTTTGTGTTTGATACACAGTGTCCGGTTGCGTAGCTAAAGGCCGTTTTCTTTTTCCCTGCAGGAGTGGGACTACGCCTATGTCCACAGCTTCTACCATCTGTCCCTGGCGGTTTCCTTTGTGCTGCTGCTGCCCAAGAAGAACCGCTACGGAGGGACGGGACAAAACGCTGCGAAGCTCAGCTGCTTAACTCTCTGCTGTTGTGTACGTTAACTTTTATTAAACCTGTTGGGGTTTTAAAATGCAACAACCTAATTCTCTCCCCTTATTTGAATCCAGTCCATGACTCCGGCTACGTCTAAGGAGAAGAAGGAGAAAGCGAAGAAGAAGTCGTCTCGGTCGGTGTGGACAGTGCCCACCAAGAGGCCATGGGCGCAAGAGGCTAACTGCCCCACCCTGCCCCTGTACAGCCCCCCACCCTCCACACCTGTCAAAGGCACCAGCATCAGCAAACTCAAAGAGATGAACGGCTGGAAGTGAGCCCGCACACACAAACAAATAAAAAACAAAAGCTGGAAACTCACCAAACAACTGCCAGCCAACTGCTGATAAACATGCACGTGGCTGGTAAGTGAATCTCCTTCTACAGGAAACCAACAAACACGTGGACGTTCCTTTCCACCTCCAAAACCTCCTCTTTGGCTGCTGGAATATCTAACCTGAGGAATTCTCCAGCCACCGAAAGCCAAAAGATAAATAAACAAACGTGACCCGACGTTAAAAATCTACAGGGAAGATGGAGGCGGCGGACCAGGCCTCGGGTCAGAACCCGAGGACGGAGCGGGAACACACACACAGCACGAACACGGAGACGGCGGCTGAGACAAGCCAGTAAAACTGACTGGAAGATTTACGGGAAGAGCAAACCGGCATATGGTTTATCTCTCCAAAATATATAAATTGTCTTTAGAGATGTTTCTCAGGGGAAAATGTTCATCTGCTCGCTTCTTTCTGTCATTTCTTCCTTCGCTTTTTTTAATCTCTCAGAGAAAGGAACCACGCGTCTCGTAAGAATTATTAGACAGTAAAGCCCAGTTCAACATTTTATACGTGCTCAAAGTGCCAGATATGTCATGTGGAGCTTCAGACGCTGGGCGAGGAGAAGGAGCTGCCCAGACATCAGTCTGTCTGAGGCGGCTGAGCAGGTGGACTTCTGCTGTGATTTCTGTTCCTATTTGCTCTGTTCAGACTGTGTGATGTTAGAACTCATTGCAGCATGAATTGTTTGCATTTTCTTTTTGATAATTTAATAAGAAATGTTGCTGATCGTGTCTTTATAGTCTTTAGAGCAGGGCCATTCAACTAAATTTCTCCGGGGGCCACAGTTACTGCAGGGGCCAAACATCCAGCAATTAAAGTTATTACGTAAATAAACCAATTATTACAAAGATCTGTTACCTTTGAAATAGTTTATTTTGCTGCATTTAATCATGAATACAACATACAGAACCCTATGTAATAAAAGTAGTGATAATCAAAAACAATAATAACACTTTATGCCTCCTGTCTGAATTATTTTGACATCTCTGACTTGCCAAATTTATTTTCACTTTCATAGTTTTATCTTCAACTGTTCAGTTTTTTAACTGTCTTGGATGTTCATAGAAATGTTTTTTTACCAGCTTGTCGCCAAGATTCTGACGCTTCTGTAGATACCATACATCAGGACTATTCAACTGGCGGCCCGCGGGCCACATCCGGCCCGCGAGTGACCAAAGTTCGGCCCGCCAATTGGTTTCTTCATCTCTTAAGCCCAAACCCCCGGTTTTCCACTTTTATTACTCTAAGTTCTTTTAGTTAAACATAGACATGTTTCGTTTCTACAGAAACTTCAGAATCTTGGCTAGAAGCTGGTAAAAACAATTTCTATAAACACTCAAGATAGTTAAAACTACAAGCAGTTGAATATAAAATGATGAAAGTGAAAATAAAATTGGTTTAAAAATTTTGCAAGTTAGAGATGTTAAAATAATATTTGTGTCTAATAATAGGAGGCATAATGTGTTCTTTTTGTTTTGATAATGTGTAATTATCACTACTTTTATAGGGTTCTGTATGTTATATTCATGATTAAATGCAGCACAATAAACTAATTCAAAGGTAACAGTAATACTTGGGTTAATTACATAACAACTTTAATTGCTGGATGTTCGGCCCCTCAGCTGTTGACCGGCAGTAACTGTGGCCCCCAGAGCAATTTAGTTGAATAGCCCTGTCATACATTTTATGACTAACTAGAAGAACTTATAATAATCAAAGTAGAAAACTGGGGGTTTGGGTTTAAAAGATGAATGAACCAATTGGGGACCGAACTTTGGTCACTCGCGGGCCGAATGTGGCCCACAGGCCACCAGTTGAATAGCCCTTGTTTAGAGGCTTGGGAAGATTCAAATGTGTCATCAAGACTTGTACAAACAAAATCTGCACAATTTTTGGTTTTCATGTTATATTTAATATGTCCTTAAATGAAGAATGTGTAAATAAAATGTGCAAACGACCATCATGTGTGGCAACTGTTTACCTATAAAAACAGCAGAAATGTCAATTTTGACGCATTAAAAATGTGTTTACGCTCAGATTTGTTGAGTAAAATATGCAGATAAAAGTAGATAGACACGTCATATCAAACTGCACCATTTGATGTATTTCAGTATAACATTTTATTTAATACTTTGCAATGAGTACCTTTAACCTGCATCAACTGTTATAAAGCTGCGACCCATACCTGACCACTGAGAAAAACCCAGACTGACCCGCTTCAGTCTGGCAACACTAATCTAATTTTAAGACCACGTATCATCTTTCACTTTCACTTCGGGTGGACGTGGAGCTGAGTGCGCACGCACGTCACCTGCCCCGAACCCTACCCAAAGACTACAAATCTGTCCCGCGTATCTCAGACAAAACAGCCTTCCCTCCACCAGGGGAATGTTTTTGAGCCGGGGCCAAGCCGCCAGCTCCCGCGCCCAGAGAAAGGTGTTTTTGTCTGCACTCAGAAACCCGGCTGGCTGCACCTGGCGGCCCTGACAGGACAGGAACGTGAGCCGTTTATTGCACGAGTGTGAGAAAAAAACAAAACAAAAAAAAAACTACTCAGCTCCTTTATGAATGCTGTCTGTGCTGCAGGAGAGGCTGAAGGCCACACACGTTCAGAACTGCACAAATTAATTAGCTAATCACCAGTAGATATTGTCGTTTCTCCACCTTTTATTGGCTTATTAACAGCCGAAGTTCTGGGTCACAAGTCTCTTTGGTGGACCAGCAGCTGAAAGGTTTGGGAAACGGTTCTTTAGAGAAGTGTCAGAACAAACAGAAGCTCTGCAGTTCAAAGGTTTTATGATCAGCATGAACAGAAACAGAATCACTGCTGCTGGACCCAGCCTGAGCCCGAAAGCTCAAAGCCATATGAGCATCTGTACAAACATCCACTGTGTCATCATTTATGACCTAAAACACGATTGATAGATGACATTAATTCAGTCAGTGTCAGTAAATCATAAAGAAATGCTTTTGAACAAATTAGAGCTGGTCATTTTGCACTCTGTTACCTACACAGTTGAGATGAACTGACACTGATATCGGGTATTGGTCTAATATTAAAAATGTTCTGATACCACAGTACTGATACTACGAGCTGTCAGGTGGTAGAGGAGCAGCATCAGCCTTGTTTTTATTTGTTTATTTACTTAGTTCTTATTTTCACTCCTGGCAGCGCTCTCCTGGAGCAGAACGTAAACTGAGTTATCTGAGTCTTTGTTTAACAAGTTTGTCTTAACCATGATTGGCAGAGTTCTTGGTGTGGGCGGAGTTTGTCTTAACGGTGATTGTCAGAGTTCTTGGTGTGGGCGGAGTTTGTCAGAGTTCTTGGTGTGGGCGGAGTTTCTCAGAGTTCTTGGTGTGGGCGGAGTTTGTCTTAACCATGAATGGCAGAGTTATTGGTATGGGCGGAGTTTGTCTTAACCATGATCGGCAGAGTTCTTGGTGTGGGCGGAGTTTGTCTTAACCATGATTGGCAGAGTTCTGGGCAGAGTTTGTCTTAACTATGATTGGCAGAGTTCTTGGTGTAGGCGGAGTTTGTCTTAACTATGATTGGCAGAATTATTGGTATGGGCGGAGTTTGTCTTAACTATGATTGGCAGAGTTCTTGGTGTAGGCGGAGTTTGTCTTAACCATAATTGGCAGAGTTTTTGGTGTGGGCGGAGTTTGTCTTAACCATGATTGGCAGAGTTATTGGTATGGGCGGAGTTTGTCTTAACCATAATTGGCAGAGTTCTTGGTGTGGGCGGAGTTTGTCTTAACTATGATTGGCAGAGTTCTTGGTGTGGGTGGAGTTTGTCTTAACCATGATTGGCAGAGTTCTGGGCGGAGTTTGTCTTAACCATGATTGGCAGAGTTCTTGGTATGGGCGGAGTTTGTCTTAACTATGATTGGCAGAGTTCTTGGTATGGGCGGAGTTTGTCTTTACCATGATTGGCAGAGTTTTGGTGAGGGTGGAATTTGTCCAAACCATTATTGTTGGGATTGACTTGTCTTTCAGGGCAAGTTAAAACATGATGGTAATAGTAAGATAACTGTAAACATGTAAATATGATTTTTTGACTATTTATAGATTAAAACAAAATAATGTGTCAAATAAAATGATTAAGAGTGTGTAAGCATAATTTACTGACTTCAAATTTGGTGTGACTACCAGCTTCCTGTCTCAAGTTATGAGTAATATTAATGAATATTCATATGAAAAATAATGAGTTAGGGCTCTTTTGACCGAGTCGAATTGTTACACGTCCCTTTAAATGTACAGTGTCAAATTTTGTGCAGGTAGCACCTTCCTGTCTCCAGTTATGATTAAATTTATTATGTTTTTTAAAGGTGCTTTCTGGTTGTTTTTTGTTGTACCCAGCTTCTTCAAACCCCACCCAATAGGGTCAATCCAACCAATCACGTCTTTAACAAACTCCTCCCACAAAAGTCAAACAGACCAGTCATGTCTTGGACGAACTCCTACTTGTTCAGGGCTAGATAAAGAAAAAGTGGCATCAGTGCTTTTCTAACATCCAACTTTTCACCTTCCATGAACATCAATCATGCATCAAAGGGGTTATAGTCTTGTGTGTGTGGGTCAGCTGTTACCACAGCTGGTGTTAATGTAAAGGTCAGCCGCCTCTCTGAGAAACCCACGCAGCTGCAGACACAACTCGTCTGCACGGCTGAGAATAACCAGCAGCAGCCAGGCAGACACGGCTGCTGCCAAACTCCACAGCAGGTAGGAAGAGTCACTGGGAGGAAACTGCTGTTGTTGTTTTTTTTTAATGTGGTTAGAAAATTGTGATTTTTAAACTGTTTTATTTAGTTTTGTTTTGTCACACATTAAACATTTGACAAGTAGAGATGTTGTTAAAACCTGCTGATATCTGTTAGTGTAGCTTTTAGAAAAGCAGCATTTTATTTGAGTTGAATTTGTGGGAAAACTAGAAAATCTCTGGTGTGGGGCCTCGTCCTCAGTAATGAGGGTGTTGCTTCGGTCAGTCCTGGTGAAAGAACTGAGTCGAAAGGCAAAGTTCTCGATTCATGTCAACGCCTCAACCCTCAACGATGGTCAGGAGGCGTGGATCATGACTGAAAGTACGAGATCCTTGATCAGAGTGCCGCTGCTCCCCCTCATCGAAAGGAGTCAGTTGAGGTGGTTCAGGCACCTGATGCCTCCTGGGTACCTCCCTGTAGAGGCGGTCCAGGAAGACCCAGGACTTGCTGTATCTATTATACATCATCTCTGGGAACACTGGAAAGTGTTGCTGAAAGGGAGTTCTGAGTTTCTCTCCTGTTGCCTCCGTGACCTGATGAAGGATGAGCGGTAGAAGATGGAGGCCCAAGGGGTTTCCTTGAAGTTTGGGTTCAAAATAATACAACTGAGTGTGTCTCAGCATTCACAAATAAGTTTGGTATCAAAATAAAGCTAACACTTGGGAGATTTCATCCGAAATGAAACCAGCAAAGAAGATGCTAGTTTAAAGATAGGCTTGAACAGGACACCTTTTTCCCTCTTGCCTAAAATCTTTTTGGCACAAAACAGTTTATAACTCTTAAATAAAGCTAAAATCTATTGGAAACCATAAATGTACAGGTGGACATTACCTGTGCAAAGATTCATGCTGCTAAAGTAAACTGGAGCAAAGTTACACAAGTTTAAAAAGTGGGACAAAATGCATAAAATCTGAGCAACGACTAGATGGAAAAAAAACAGTTTTAGAGTCACGGACAAGAGGATGAAGGATGAATAAGACAAACTTTAGATAACAGAACTTCAGCTGCAGAAAATGTTTGTGGAAAAACTGTCAGCTGCTGCCCCCTGTTGGTTGCTTTAGGAACAGCATTAAAAATATTTAGTTAAAATGTTTTTTAATTAAACAACAGAACATACCAACTCCACCTACACAAATCTATACTGCAAACTGTTTCACACCTCAATAAATAAACAAATCTTTAAACTTTAAAAAACTTTTCTTTTTTCAGCTGCCTACTTTTCAGTATTTTTCGTTCTGTATTGCACATTTTCTCTTTTTTACTTTATATCTGTGCCCTTTTTTTCACTTTTTTCTTATTTAAATTTCAGTTTTTGCTTCTGAGAAACATTATTTGAACCCTCTGTGCTGAGTGGTCTGACAAACCTTTATTCCTGTTGGTTCTGTCAAGCAGACAAAGACAAAACTCACATTGGTTCATACCAATGCCGTGCCATTACCTGCTGGTCTTTTCTCTGTTAGCAAAATATCATTTCAAGCACTACACGGGCTGGTAATAGATGACTCAACAGCTTCTTCCACCTGCCAAACAGAGAGGAAAGGAGGAAAAAGGTTGTCAACAACAAAATGGGTCAAAGTTATGAGAACATTTGTTGTGCTGCAGACAGCTGCTTAGAGCTCATAAAGACAGTTCAATGATTCACGTCCTGCATGTAGCTGCTGTTAGAAACACAGCATTGTGAAACATTGATTAAATCATTCTGCTGCTTAGTTTGTCAGTTTCATTGCTACATATTGAAGAATGACCAGGAGTTTTAATGAGACCTGATTTTTTATATTCAGTACCTGCAGAAGGAGCTTTGTGAGTTTCTGCTCATCTTGTTCAGTCACACACAAGCTCAGCTCCTTCACAGCTTCACTCAGTTTTTCTGATGGACCTGTGCTCTCACTGCTCAGAGTCATGTTTTGAACACTTTCCGCCAGCCTGAAAACGAGTCACACTTAATTTCTGAACCAAAGTATCAGGTGAGTCTCTATTCAGGGACTGAGGGTTTGTTACAAACCTGAGCGGATCAGAAGCAGAACTCCAGGCCTGGATGGTTTCAGTCAGCTCCGCTCGGATCGACTGACCTTTAGGGCTCGATGAGACTTCAGAGACGCTGCTGCCGGGAAACTTAACTCATGAGCAGAGGAGGCGCCTGCACAGATACAAAAACACACGCAGACATGAGGTCCTAATAAAAACTGTACGGACTAAACTGTGCTCATTTTGGATTTGAATCTGGATTTACATCTTCTTGTAATTTGTTGCTGCTTTTTGCGTGTTGCCTTGAGATGACTTGATGTGATAAAGTCTGACTCGTGTCTACAGAACATCACATAAACTATAAACTATATTTAACTTGTATTGTAACTTGTATAAAAACATGTATTTCTGAGTCTGGGTTTGGGGAGTGTATGTAAAAAATATTCATAAATATCCGATGATCCTGGATGTCCCATTTTGTCTCTGAACACCACCTGCAGTCTCATGTTGAAAACACCTACCTTTTCTTTAATCCAAGCTAAAAGTTGATGTTCATGTTTTCATCTTAAGACTTGAAGTGTTGCTTTTGGTCCTTGTGTTCTGTATGTTTAGGTTTTAGTCACTCCATCCTGTTCTGTTTGCTTTCTTATTTATTTTGACCAAAACTTTCTGGACTTTCTAATCAGTTCCTGTTTTCCTCCTGATTTTTTTTTTTTTTATCAAATCTTCTGTCTGGCTGTATTCATCTTGTTGTTCTTGTTTTTCTGTATTTATATATTTCGTCATTAATGCCTTCCTATTGTCCAATCATGTGTTTGCTTCCTTTTCTCTTAAATCACCCAACACTACGGAGCCCGCAAGGGGACACGGGGGGATTTTTTTCCTTTTGTGTTCCCACGCAATACTTTTGCATTCCCTCGCAATACTTTTGTGTTCCCACGCAATACTTTTGTGTTCCCACGCAATACTTTTGCATTCCCTCGCAATACTTTTGTGTTCCCACGCAATACTTTTGCGTTCCCTCGCAATCCTTTTGCGTTCCCTCGCAATACTTTTGTGTTCCCACGCAATACTTTTGCGTTCCCTCGCAATACTTTTGTGTTCCCACGCAATACTTTTG